ATTAAAGCAAAAGTAAAATATAATGTTAGATATGATTTTGAAATAATAATAATAATAATTGAGTACGATCAAATCATAAATTAAGTAATAGGTAGGTGACCAAATAAATAGTTTACACTGAATAAAAATATATATGAATTATATTAAAAACTTATATATATCCAATTAATATAATTTTCTATATTTAATCTATATTTATATAGGCATGATCCACTTACGTTGTGTAAAAATCTTTTAGTTTTACATCTTTTTAGGACTATTAAATGAATAAAATTAAAGTCTTAACATTAGGAAATGAGAAAACGTTGACTGGAAAGAAAAACAAGTAGTTAATCTCAACTTTTGATTTCTCTCAATCCAACTATCATGTAATACTAAAAGAATTTTAAACAACTTAGTGTAAGTGGATCTCAACCCATATATATTATGTTGGATAAATTTTTATTATATTTATATTGACCCAACCAGCTGTGGAACATAAGCAAGGCTAGTGCGGGCCATGGCCCCCCAAAACTTAAAACACTATAGTTTAGACCCTTTAAGTTTTCAAAAAATTTAATTTGGTACCCTCAAAATTTTAAAAAATTTAGGTTAAACTTTAAAGTTTTTGTATGTTCTCAACTAAATCTTCTCTCATAATTAAAAAAAAAAAATCTTCTTCAACCTCTGAAAAAAAAGAAAAAAATAATAGTTACACCCTAATATTTTTGAGGAAAAACATAAACTAAACCATTCAAAATTTTTGAAAATTTTAATTTAAACTTCTACTTTTTTAAAGTTTTAAGTTAGCCCCCAATCTCTATCACCAAGTTCCGCCACTGGACCAACCACTACAAGAATTAAGATTTTTAGTAACAATTTAATCATGACATTAAAGATTTTCGTCACATAAAGTATGTTATTTATGACGAAAATTATTTGTCACTTTTGAAATGAGTAATTGTGACTTATTTTAATTTTGTCACTCTTTAGATAATAATTGTGACAACTTTGAAGTTCATCAAAAGTAATTCGTCACTAATAGTATTTTATTGTGACCAAAGTAAGTTATCGTTATCAATTGGTCACTGATAGAATGGTCGAATTGGTGCCAACTTATTTTTCGCGGGAAAAATTGTAATAGTGACAATATATTACGTAGTCACTATTATTATTCATAATTGTGTTGCAAATATTTTGTCACTAGTCTTAGTTGGTGATTTGTGACGATAATACTTTTTATCACTATTGAATTGAATAGTTGTGTCCTACTTGTATTTATTCACTAATAAAATGTTTGAATTGTCATTGCATTTTTTAAACAAGAAACGATATAATAGTTATAACATATTAAGTGTTCTCTATCATTATTCATAATTGTGACAATAACATTTTTTCACTAGTAAGTTTATCATTTTATAATGGTATACTTTGACAGTCTTAAATTACGTCACAAGTATCACTACAAGAATAAATGTTTTTACTGACAAATTGATGACTATTAGTAATTTTGTCACAAATATCAAACTTTTAGTGACAAAAATTTTGTATGACACTATTAATAAAAATAAGTGTAATATATTTTTATTTCGTCACTATTATAGTAATAACTATGATGATTATATTTTTCTCATAATTAAATTCTCACTGTAAGTATATAATTGTGATACAAATTTCACTGTCACAAAATTTTTTGACACTATTAAAATATGTAAATTGACATAACTATTTCTTTGGCGAGAAATGATATGATAATAACAATATATAAAGTGATAACTATTATTTGATATTTATTGTGACAATAAAGTTGCCCGTCGCTTAAAGTTTTACTTTTTCTTTTGTGATAAATATTGTCATCAATAATAATTAAAATTTTTGTTAAGATAAACTAGTTTGTCAAATGCTAAACTTTTGTTATTAGTCTTATGCTCTAATTTGATCAATTTTAGTCTGTATATATATTTTAAAATTTTAAATTTCAATAACCATCCAAATTGTACAATGACTATGTTACTAATAAATGACTAAGTAAATGACTTATAAAATTACCTTAACCTTTTAAATATTTTGTTTTATATTATTATGAATTTTTTATTAATGAAATAAATGACCGACGATACTATAAGCTTTGATAGTTTCATTTAATCTTCAATTATGATTAGTTTTTACTTTAAAATAATTGATTAATTTTTATATGTAATTTATGATCTTTATTGAGATATATATGAATTTTGCAAACACAAGTTAATTATTAATACTTTCTTTTTTAATTTAGGACTTTCACTATAAGGGTTAATATATTTTCAAATATTTTTATTTTATTTTTTGAATATAATTTAAGAATACTTGGTATTATTTTAGATTTAAATCTTAATATTTATATGATTATATTTAAAATAATTCTAATTATTTTTTATATTTATCTTCCACGAGCGTGTTTCATATGAGAAATCATAGAAAATTCAATTAATTATTATAATAATAATAATAATTAATATTATATATATTAAAATAAATTAATTAATTCCAACAATAGTTTAACATAAATATTTTTTTCCAACAACATATATTTCTTTATCAGCACAATGGCAAGGCGTTGCACTCTATCCTTGAAGGTTACGGTTCGATCATCTTAAAAGCCATGTATTGTATTAATTTATCAAAAAAATAACATGTTATATCATTGCTTATGCAATACCAGATTTGAAATTTGGTGGTTATACAAAAAAATAATTATGTGGAGATATTGCATCATATATCATTAACAAAGAATAACTAACCGATGACCATGATTGCAATGCAAGTTCTTAAAGAAAGATGGATACAACTAAAAATATAATATCTACTATAATTGATTGCATAATAATTTTTTTTTATTAATTTAGTTATGTAGATGTGCTAAAATATTTTCACTAATAAGTATGATATTAATATCTAATTTTTCGACACTGCTATTAGTATTTCTGTGTCAAAAAACGTGGTCACAAAATATAATGTCAATGTCAAATAAATTTACCACAATTTCTATTGATAATACTATCGAACATTTGACCACTAAAAAATACTTAGTGTGACAATATTGATGGTCACAAAATATATTTTCAGTGTCAAAAAAAAATTATCACAATTTCTATTGATAATTGTGTTAAATAGATGATCACAAAAAAAAAAACAATTGTGACAATTTTTAAAATAATTATCACTAATATAATAATGACCGGTTATTAATAACGACAAATGACGACTTGAAAATTTTATCATTATGTATATTAGTGTCTAGATTTAGTGCTTTTAATAATCATTTGCATTGACACTAAAAATACATTTTCTTGTAGTAAACTTATAAAAAAAAAATTGATTCATCACTAACGGATGGTCTAGCGTGCAATATACTTTGTATCATATGATATAATATTGAGTTACACTACCCAGGAAAAAAAGTCGATGATATTACAGTCTATTTGGACGATAGGTACGTAGGAGGCCGACAAACAGCCAAAACAAAACAGATGAATTTTATTATCAGCTCCGATCACACATTAAGTAATTTATTTAATGCCACATCAATTGTTTTGTGTTTATTATAATTAAATTTGTTGTCAGTGTATTGTTCTGTCGTAAGGTAGTCCATACAAAACATCAGAGGCAATGTTTTCTTAATTGGACTACATTGAACACGTTCTCTTTTAATAAGACATTTGGAAATAGTATACATATAAATATGCTAAAGAGACCTAAAATGAAAAGTTCCAAGAAACTAACAGTTGAATTATTCCACGAAAACTAAGTATAAGATGCCCTCCAACTACGTTTGATTTCATTTGTTTATTGCACACCATTGCCACCCAGGACTCAACAGTACCACCATTGATATTATATATATATATATATATATATTTGGTTATCAAAATAAAAATTTAAATTACTTAAAAAAACTAATGTCAGGGTCGGTGCATTTTACTTGATTTGCATGGTAGATGTTACGAGTTCACGTGCCCCCTGCTATCACAGCTTAGTTTATATGATTGGACCACACATTTACTATGTCAATGACATTTTATGCATAAATTTAATTAAAACATTAATATTTACAGGTAACATAAGATGCTTTGGCATGAGCTTTAAGCTATAGAGTTTTGTAAATTTAAAAATTATGTATCTGAAACTTATGGGAGGAAATAGTCTTTTATTTATTAAATCATATATATATTTTTATCATATATTATTTTCTGATAGTATGGAGTATCATTTTATGAATGTGTCTTGTTGCTATAAATAACAACGATAATGATGAGGTTTAAAATGATTATGAAAAATAAATTAGATATTTGATTTGACAAAAAGTTAGTTTAGTACCTAAACTCAATAAATCCTACTATTCATTGTTGTGGATAATCTGGAAAACCTGTCTTCCGGAGATGACAGTTCGAACAGTAGTAGGGTTGAAAGAGCCAGAAAAAGGTCCAAGATTTGGGACAAGATACTTGCCATGTGACCCATGTGACTACAGTCTGGGGATTGCCCATGCAATATGCAACATTACAAAAGCACACCACCTGCCTATGTACATCCAACTTCCTCGTTTATCAATGGAATAAATTAGATTACAATTACAAGAATTATTTTTATAATATCATATTAAAATTAATTTATTAATAAATCAAATAATGATATTATATATTTTTTCTCTTTCGTATTTTAGGGAACACGAGATATGAAGTCCACAAACATCCAAGGCAAAGCACCCGCACTCTGATGTATGGGCATGGCTCTTGGTAGTCGAGCAGTGAGCGTCGTCAACTTATGTTTCATTCTTGGTTTTGAGTTTATTTCCAAATTCACACCCCAATGTCCTTATCAATTCCCTTACCATATCTACAATCTCTAGTCCCAGGCAACCTCCACCCCTTGTGCTCTTTCTCTCCCTCTCCTTTTGTTTTTAATCAAAACATCATCATTTACTTCTTAATTTCTGGGATTCTTCCTCTAATACTCTCTCACCTTCCTTAACCATCTCCACTTTTCTTCATCAACTCTTGTTCTTCTTCTTCTTTTTATTATTTATTTGTATGTTCCTTTCTTCTCTAGGAAAAAAAGATGAGTGGATTGTTTCGATCCAAATCTTGTGGATTTGTCGGAATCACTGAGTTGGGCCATGCTCCTCCGAGTCGCTTATTCCACCAAGCCAAAACCGGCGACTGTGGAGCCTCTGAGAAACAAGAAAAGGAAGAAGAGTTAGAAGACGACGACGAAGACGAAGAAGAAAATGAGTATGATGGAGATCCCATTGCTACGACGCCGTTTACAAGCCCCAAGTCAAGATTTAGCAGTAGTAGTAGTCAGGGTCAAAGCCGTGATTCAACGTCAAAAGACAATAACCAGTTCCAGTTCCCTTTTCTGGACATTCTGGCGGCGTTGTTAAGGAAGTCGCTGGTCACGTGCAGCGTGGATACCGACGACGTGTCTTCCATGGACATCAGCTTGCCGACTGAAGTCAGGCACGTCTCACACGTGACCTTCGACCGCTTCAATGGTTTCCTTGGCTTGCCTACTGAGCTCCAGCATGATGTTCCCAGAAGGGTTCCCAGTGCCAGGTTTGGTTCTGAATTTTGATTCAACCTCATGTTTAATTCAGTTTATTTGCATTGCTGATACAAGTTTGTTCAATTCTTGAATTCAATAAGAAATTTATTAGCCTTTCCGCAAATTTTTCTTCAATTGCAACTGTTCTTGCAGGTGTATCATCTGTATGCTTGGTTGCTATGTCTGACTTAATTGAGTCGTTCTCTTGTTTGTCAAACATGAGATTTTATGTCTTTGATTAAAGCTGTAGGAGAAAGGGACATTCCAACTACTATTTCCATGTTCAATGAGGAAGCTGTTGTTGTTGTTCTGCAATAAATGCTTTCTCAGAAAATTTTAGTCTTTGATTATGATGGAAATTCTCGGATAGCGCTTTCACAGTTAAAGGGTAAACTGATCTTTTTCATTGTGCAGTGCAAGTGTTTTTGGAGTTTCTGCCGAGTCAATGCAGTGTTCTTATGATGACCGAGGGAACAGTGTGCCAACTATTCTTCTTATGATGCAGAAACGTCTGTATGCAGCAGGAGGCCTTAAATCCAAGTTTAAGCTTATGCTTTGGTTTAATGACTAAATCGTGTTCTTAATGCTTGACGTTTTGACGATGATCGGTTATGTTGATTGAAGGCGGAAGGGATATTCCGGATCAACGCCGAAAATAGCCAAGAAGAGTATGTCCGAGACGAGTTAAACAAAGGAGTAGTACCACGTGGAATTGATGTCCATTGTTTGGCAGGTCTGATAAAGGTATAGTTTCCAAATGCCAGACTATCAAGATTATGACATTTTGCTTTCATGCTTGACTATTTAGATATTATATCTCAGTTGGTGCATGTACTTGGAATCGTTTGTAGGCATGGCTTAGAGAACTTCCTAGTGGAGTACTTGATTCCCTCACACCGGAGCAGGTGATGCACTGCAACACCGAGGATGACTGTGCTGAACTCGTCAAGTTACTTCCTCAAACAGAAGCTTCTCTCCTTGACTGGTCTATCAATTTGATGGCTGATGTTGTGCAGCATGAACAATACAACAAAATGAACGCACGAAACGTCGCCATGGTTTTTGCACCAAACATGACTCAGGTTTTCTTTTTCTTCCAGTTCTTGCACTTTGAACACTAATTCTACACAAAGTTTAAATCAGAGTCCATCTCTATCTGGCCCAGATGGCTGATCCTTTGACAGCATTGATTCATGCTGTGCAAGTGATGAACTTCCTCAAGACACTGATCTTAAAGACACAGGGTGAAAGGGAGGAGTCAGCTTCCACTGCTAAGCTTTTGCGGGCTGCCATAATGTGTAGACTGGAATGTGTCGCTGGAGAGAAACTATGGAGCTCTGGTATAGGTGACGGGGAAGAGGAATTCGATTCCATTTCAGGTGACATCACGCCAAGTGGATGTGAAATGAGGTCTGTTGAAAATGAATGCAGAGGTGCGTACGATAATAAGGACCGGCTAAGTTTAAGAAAAGGTGTACTGCGGTTATGCAGGCACCCTGTATTTCAGTTGAGTAAGTCGAGTAAGAAGACCCGAAATCTGGGGATTGTAAATACTGGACGAGGTGGAGAAGCCTGTGTGTAGCACATCCCTAAATGTTTGTGTTCCTTTTTGATCATTTTAGGCCATTTCTGGCTGTGTATGCGAAATTTATAGTTTCTAGGTTTTGTTTGGAAGTACTAACTGAAAGCTATAGATTAATCATCTCCCTCCTAATCCCTTGTACTATCTTACTAGTGCACAATAATAGTTTGAATCTAACGTGTTAAAAATATACTATTTCTAATTTTATTAATAATATGTATTCCTTCTATGTATTTATGCAAATTGTAAATGTAAACACATTTATGCGTCTTAAATATGATTTACTTCACATCGAGATCAACATTGTAATTTACACAAACTGTTGAGAAAAAAAAACGAACTCGTTAAAACAATGTAATGCTTTTAAGATTTTATTAAAATATTTTAAAATTTAAATGTATGCGGGAAAGAAACGATAATGATCCAACCATGTATAAGTTGGGGCAGTAATTGCAAGTATAAATTTGGGTCTTCTCTATTCTATGAAATATCAGCAACAGTTGGGACGTTATTATAGTGGGATTGGTATTTCCTATTACAGTTTATTAGTAAATAGGTGGAGGTATTATGAGTTTTCAACTAATTCCCATCTACATTTTGATTAAAATTAATATTAATCTCCATTTAAAATAACATTATTTATTAACATAATATTTTACATATTTGTGTTTCAATTTCAATGAAAGTAGCACTAAAATAATCATTATTAGGGTTGGGTGAAGCGAAAGCAATTTTGTGGCTTTTTTTTTTGGTAAAATAGGAAATTAAACTAATATACTAATATTCACATTCTTCATTCCTTAAAATCTCAATTATTTCTGCTGGAGGTGAGTTCAACTTGCAGCGTCTAGTTTCGCCTCTTTGCGCTAGTTTTGTCAACATATCCGTAGCTCAGTTACCGTCTCTGTGCACATGCACCGTCTTCACTTCCCGATCTCTCTTTAACATCCTATTAATGTGATTCATTGTTGTTAGTTCCATTGTTGTTGTTGATGTTCCATTGAGATTTCTCCATACTTCTTTGTTATCAACCTCCGGGACAGTCTTCCTTACTCCTATATCCCAAGCAATCTCCTATGAACTTGTGGAACCCCAGCATCCACTGGCTTCTATCGTTTCTAATCAGTCCCCCACATGCTGCCTCACCATTGCTTCTATTACTCGCACCATCAGTATTAATTTTTACCCATCCTATCGGGGGAAGTACCCACTTTGCTTCTTGGCGATGAATGTAACCAGTGTTTACCGATGCTGGTTGAGGTGGAAACCTTGATGATCGACGCTCCATTTCTGACAACTGTGTGTTTGTAGGAAATAGCATGGTGTCCTGGTCGTCTAGGAAACAAAAGTCTGTTTCCCGCTCAACCATGGAATCTGAGTACAAAAGTCTTTGCAGATGTGGCTGCTGAGGTAACATAGATTCATGCGTTGCTGTCTGATCTTAGTGTAGCACAAGCAGCTCAGCCAACGATTTGGTGTGACAACTCCGGTGCAATCGCGATGAGCGCAAATCCAATTTATCATGATCAATCGGAACACGTGGACATCGCGCAAATCCAGTTTATCATAATCAATCGGAACACGTGAATTTAGACATTCATTTCGTCCGGGAAAAGGTTGCTGCAAAACAACTTCAGGTGAGGTGTGTGCCTGGTTTCCATCAAATCGTAGATGGTTTCACAAAACCTTTGGCTCGAGCGTCTTTTGAAGTCTTTCATGATCGAATCAATGTTCAACAGTATGAAGAGAAAAAAGTGGAGGAAATGTTGAATATAGCAAAGTTTGATAGTCTGCTCATACATGTCAGTTGGTTGTTAGTTAAGGAGGTTAAGCTGATGTAAAGTCTGTTAGACTGTTAGTATGTTACCATAAAACTATGTAAATTGCATGGGTATCAGTGTAGTATTAGTTGGAGTCTTTGAGTAATTGTAAATCGTCAACAAAAAAAAAAAAAAACTGAATGAAAAACATTTGTTTTTTTCTTTCTCTTTACTAGTTCTAATCAGAACTTTCATTACTCATGGAGTGATCTCTCTTATACTCGCATAGTGCTTTACGTATTTGATATGTCATAATTGATTTTTGGATACCTTTTAGATGTGAAGTCATTGATTGGTTTTGATTTGAGTTGATTAATTAGGAATGTTTGATGTTATTTATATAGTGGTTGATTTTCTTAGTATACATGGACATGCATTAAGTTTTAATTAATACTATACACTACAATAAACTTTTTTTTTAAAGGTATGTATTATATTTAATTAGTCATATTGTACATGAACATTATTCAATTAGTCAATACAATGTATATGTTTTATTCATTAAGAATTAAACATGTTCGTTGAATAAAAAACATCTCTTTAAATTAATAAATTTTTAATTAATTGATTAATTAATTATTACCTCTTTAAATTAATAAAATTAGTCCCAACATTATTAATATATAGATATTTACTGTACAATAATAGTATAATATTATATGGATTTAACATTGTTGAAAGACATCAATAATCTATAGAGTTAGAGATTAAAAATTTTCGGTTGAAATCTCTTATCTCTCCTAAGTTGTGAGTCTAATACTGATTAGGAGTAAAATTTCTCTTCCCCTTCCCTACGTAGAAATTGTTAAAAAAACATATGGAGAAAAGTTTATATTCGACTCTTAGACGTTTGTCTTTATAGATCTTCAATTTTATTCTTCTATATTATCTCTTTAATGACTGAATTATATTTTTAATTTGTAGATCAAATAAAACGAAATTTAAATCTTATAACTCTAACAAAATTTGATAATGAATTTATCTTTCAATAAGGCCTTAGATTAATATCAAAATGTATAAACATTTATTAGCTAGTGTTATTTTCTAAAGTATTATATGAAACGAGTACACCAAGTTAATATCACTTTCATTCAAATTACGCCACTTAATCATATAATAAAAAAATCATTCATTAGAATTGTTTAATTAAGTTTGTATCATTCATTATCTCATAAGGAATTGATTAAGTGATATCATGTGAATCACTGAATAAATGTAATACACCAATTTATATTGCGTAATATAATTGTTTTATATAGTATATTATTTTTATTATTTGATTCGTTACAAGCACTTATTGCCAATAACTAATTATACCATCTCAACAACCAGACACTAACATACATGAAACTCATTTTTCTATTCCTCGACATGAGTCAATTTACTGATAAGAGTACAAAATAAGAACTCTAGCTCCAAGATCTTATTTATATATGGGGAGGGGACATGGGTCAATTCTTAATCAAAGTACAAAATAAGAGCCTCAGCTCCCAGATTATACATAAATATATTTGTTGTATCACCTTCGAAATTAACACCAGCTAAATATCGTTTTTTTATCGGTTATAATTATTCGTCCAAATTAAAAGAAATAAATTATTTATAATCACAGTAACTTATTTGTTCGAATCAGCCATATCCAATAACATTAATTTATATTTAATGAAGTTTACCTTATTTATCTTACCTTTAGATCAAGAATCAATCAACAACCAAAATTAGAACATTTTCTCCTTTTATCTTGCATTCCTTTTTTCTTCTCGATCTATGCCTTTTTGACCAACAAGTTCATCTATAATCATTGAATTTGGCCACTTTAACTAAATAAGTCATTATACTTTCATATTATTCAAATACACACTATTTTAATTAGGGGTAAAGTATATAAATGATCCCCGGCTATAGGGTATTACTTTGTTACTATTAAAATGTTATAAAATGACCCCTATACTATAGGGCATTGCTTTATTGAGTCCATTGACTATTAAAAGTTACAAAATGATCATTTGACTATTTATATGTTCCAAACTCGTCCTTTTTTGTTAAAAAATGATGGTAGTCAGAGATGGACTTTAACTTGTTGACTGTCACATGATAAAATTTGATCACAAAATCTCAAATGACTATCATATCTCAGTCAACAGGTTAACGTCCTGCTCAAACTTTCATCAATTTTTACAAAAAGGACGAATTTGAAATATATGAATAGTTAGTAACCATTTTGTAACTTTTAATAGTCGAGGGATAAAAAAATCAACACCCTATTGTCAGGGTATAATTTTTAACTTTTAATAGTTATGGACCCAACAAAGTAACATCTTATAGTCGGAGGATTATTTGTGTACTTTATCCTTTAACTAATATCTAAATAAACTTTAAGGATGGATTTGTTGTTTAGGCTTCATTTGGAACACTTCTCCAAATGAGTTTTTCCAATGCAAAAAAAAAAAAAATCAACTTTTTAGCTTGAGTCAATAACCACTTTTCAAATGTGCATTTTTTGCTAAAAATGAAATGTTTGGAATTGCTTTTACGTTTCAAAAAGATTTTTAGGCCAAAAGAACTCTTATAAACATCTCTTAACGACCTCTTAAGTTTTATCAATGAAACATATTAAGAATATAAGCCAAAATTAAGCTAGCTCTGATTAGGAAAAAATTGGGACAATGCCTCTCTATGAAATTAATTGTTGGAGTTAGCTTAGCAACTAAAAATTATAAGTGAATGAGAAGGCCAGGAGGGGACAATGCCTCTCTATGAATATGTTGGCGATTTGAATCCAAATTCATAATAAGAAAGAAATAGAGAGGAATAAGATATAGACTTGAGAGTAAGAGTGATGTGGATGTCACACGCATATGAGAATTATTTTTATAATTATACCAGAATAAATATTATATGTTAGGAAATTTATTAGGTTGAGTTTTGTCATTAAAAGTTGTTGAGCTTGTTAGTTTGTTAACGAATTAGTTAGACTTGTAATGGACTATAAATATGGTGTATAAGGTCATTTCCCATTAACCCATTGAATACAAAAGTGAATTCTTCCTCAATAAACTATTTTTTAATATATTTCTAATGTACTTCTTGTTCTTTCTTTCCACGCTCATCAACTCCATCCATCGGTAATTGCCACTTCTGGCTTTAATGGATGCTTTCTTACATGGTATCATAGCCTAAGACCTGAACCCACTCTCAAATTTATTACTTTTGCTAGCCCGTTTTCCAGTGTTGGTTATTTTTTGATTACGTTGTTTGCCTATGATCCTGCTGGTTTCATTTTGCTGCTGTCATTGATCTTTCACTTC